TTCCGTCCCTGCTTCATAAATTTGATCCTAACATTTCAGATTTATGCTGGAGATGTCACCGGGCAACAGGTACGCTCCATGGTGGGATGGTGGGATCCACTGCTACAGCCCTTCTGGGGAAAAGTTCGAGACATAATCACACAAGTAACTACATACACCCTAGACCTTTCCCCCGCACAATTTTTACTTCACCACTCCTCACTTCCTTTTAGGACTTATCGTAAGTCTCTTTCCTTGCATATGATAAAGGCGGCACAACAGTGTATTCCTGTCCACTGGCGATCAGAACATGTTCCCACTGTGCGAGAGTGGTTTCTTAGGGTCATTAGGATTGCAGAGATGGAGGAACTGATTTCAGTGGCAAGGGAACATCCTGAGAGATTCAGGAGGACTTGGGCTTGTTGGAATCATTTCCAAACTACTAATACTTATCGCCTTTCAATGAATGAATGAGCTGAGATTTGGTAGCATGGAATACCTTTAAGGCTTTTACCTCAGGAATTACTCCATGAATTGAGTCTAACCAGACTGTATCTTAAATTAGATGTAGAGTCTTTGTTAGTTTGGCCAATATCAAATGATGTGATTGGTTTAGCTGCAATTACCTAATCATTGACCCCTTCCCCCCACCCCCCCCCACCTTTTTTTTTTTTTTTATCTCTCCCCCTCCCCTTTACGACGTTACTTTTCACATTTCTCTTCAATCAACTCTCCCTTCTCTTTTCTCTCTTCTCTTTATCTCACACCTTTTTCATACCGTAACTAATCATATCTTCCATAAGGAACAGAGCATCTATTCACATACAGGTGTGACTATTCTTTACAAAAAGTAACCTACATTTTCCAGATACGGACACATGTGGCATACATGCCTTCAGATGATATTTCTGCCTTGCGCTTCACTGTCCTGGTATCTGAGAACTCCCTACCCAGTGGAACACTGTCCATTATACTTATCTAGTTTACCTACTATAATCATTATATCTACTGGTTTGTATTATTCATTTGTTATATTATAATATTTTGCCTCGAGATGAATCGCACTTTAAACAAACATCTTATGACCCGTCTGCGTTATGGGAGAACATGAAAGATGTCTATGCGCGGACTGTGATCCGTATCTGTAAATGACTTGATATGCCTTTCATATTTCAATAAAATACTTTTTTGGAAAAAACAAAAATAAACAAAAAAAGTCAACATTTCGTAAGGCCCGAAAATGCCAGGGCAGAAAAAACACCCTCAAATGACCCCTTTTTGGAAAGTAGACAGTCCAAGGTATTTAGTAAGAGGAATGGCGAGTTTTTGAAGTTGTAATTTCTTGTGACAATTTTTGGGGAAAAATGGAGAAATTAAAAAACAATGTTTTTTTTCACAATTTGTAAACATTGTTTACATACTGTCACCAGTGAAGTACAGCATCCTCATACTGTATAACCGGGGTGGAAGTGATCAGAGACACTGACTGGTGACAGTATGTAAAAAATAAAAAAAAATTTTAAATAATTGTTTTAATACTTTTTTCTTTTTATTACTTTTTTCTTTTTACATACAGTGACCAGAGCAATACAGTGTTACCATGGTAACACTGTACTATTCTAGAGAGGTGATCAGGATTTTTTTTTTACACAATAATAGCTTACAACTGTGAATTTTACAGTTATAAGCAACCCTTTTTTCTAGATGAAAACTATTCATTCAGTGTTTACTATTGTGATTAGCTGTGATTGGCTAAAGCTAATCACATGGCAAAGATGGGCAGTGATTGGCCCTGTCTGTACCATGCGATCACTGTATCTAATCACAGAGCTCATTACAAAAGTACACAATGAAAGGCATGAATCAAAGCCTTTCATTGTGTACAACTGTCATGTGGCTACATTGACATTGGCCACAGAGATCCCACAGGACTGGCAGCAGGCCGGTACAGTGATCTGTCATTGGCTTTGTCCGGTGGACATAATGGGTGTTAGATTGTGGTGGAGCATGACCCTTGAAGGATGACATATGATATCCTCCCAGAATAATAGGGCTCCTGCCTGGCCGTCATAATATAATAGACCAGGCAGAAAGGGGTTAAAGTGTAAGCTTCAGCACATCAGCCTTCCTCCAGTTTCAAATAATGCACCTCCTCCCACTACACATGCAGCCGAGAATGGAGGGGGGTGTCATCCAAGCACATCCTCACAAAAATGGATAATACTTTTTAATGCACACTACTCTATATTGTCAAAAATACGCTCAGTGTCCACTTTATTGGGTACACCTTACTAGTGCCAAGAAAATATCCCCCACACCATTACACCACCCACCACCAGCCTGAACCGTTGATACAAGGCAGGATGGATGCTTTCATGTTGTTTACAACAAATTCTGACCCTACCATCTGCAACCAGTCTACCTATTCTCCTCTGACCTCAACAAGGCATTTTTTCGTCCACACAACTGCCACTCACTGGATATTTTTTCTTTTTTTGGACCATTATCTGTAAACCCTAGAGATAGCTGAGCATTATTATTATTATTATACAGTATTTATATATATGAAAATCGCAGTAGATCAGCAGTTTTTTAAATACTCAGACCAGCCCGTCTAACACCAACAAACATTCCATGTTCAAATTCACTTAAATCCCCTTTCTTCCCCATTATGATGCTCGGTTTGAACTTCAGCAAGTCATCTTCACCACGTCTAGATGCCTAAATGCATTGAGTTTCTGCCATGTGATTGGCTGATAAGAAATTTGTGTTAACAAGCAATTGAATAAGTGTACCTAATAAAGTGGCTGGTGAGTATATAAACAATTTGTATAGAAGTATGACTGTCTATTACAAATTGTTAGGTTTTGATGCCAAAATTTTGTACATTTTTTTCTAGATTGTGTTTTTGCAAGACTGTGTTTTTATACACATTATATTTTCTGATGACTTCTACTGCATTGCAAACAAATACAAATTCTCACTTTTTTCAAGTGCACATTCATCTCTCTATGCATAGCATCTCAAAAGAAAAATGAACTTCAATGGAAATTCCAATTACAGCAACATTTCCTCTGTGCTTTGTGATTTTAAATAATGGAGTTTCAAGAAAACGCAGAAATCAATATTGGATGTTAATGGCGACAAGAACAATGAAAAAAAGGATAATTTCATCTTGTGGATTTTAATAAGCCATTTTATATTATAATATTCTTTTCCACTTTTAGTATTTCTATATATATACAACAGCAACCATAATTCATAAAAAGAAGTTTGAAAAAAAAAACTTTATTATTCCAGTAGTCACCGTATGCCTGCATTGTATGAAATAATGTATGGCACATTAAAAATGAAAAGTAGAAAGGAAAATAGCACCGCAGTTCTTGAAAAGAAATGATGCTTGGATACATTTTGTTTCATATTGCATGGTGTAATGTAAACTGTGTCTTCATAGATCCAAGAGAGAAGGCACTTTATGGATACTGTAATCACTGGACAAGGATAACATGTATTTAATGTACAGAATGTATGACAAAGAAGAATTACAAGGAAATAAAAGGAAGTAGAACAGTGATAATAGCACTCAGGAAACATTAAATACATAACATAGGCTGCATAACAATACAGCTCTCTGCTACCAGATGTTGTAGGTTTCCTCCCTGCTTATTTCTGCATTTGTTGTCTACATGTCCTGGGTGTGCAGAAAATCATCCATGTGTAGAAAAAATGTGATTGTATAGATTGACTTAATTTCTTTTTCAAAATGCATAATATCATCCTGCAAAATGAAGTTAAACTGAAATCAAGAAATAAATACAAAAGAATTATGCTCAGCCTACAGCATAATACAGCATAAAGGCAGAAGTACCGTTTAGAGTCTATACATAGGGAATAAGGATAATTACACAGAGTTATACTCATCATACAGAACAAGATGGTGGTACTGTGTAGTGTCTATACATAGAGAATAAGAATGGAAACGGAGTTACACCCAACGTACAGAACAAAGTAGTGTTACTGTGTAGAGGCTATACAATACATAGATAATAAGGGTAGATAATTGGAGTTATACACAGCATACGGTATTGGTATTGTCTATTTATTAAAAATAAAAACAGATGCTTAGAATTATGTATTGCATGAGAAGTAGTTCTATGCAGTATGTACACATTAGGAGTACATACCAAAAATTACATCCATCCTACAGAACAGGAGATATTGAATTGTGCCATACTAAGAAAAGATACTGCACTCAGCATCCAGAATATAAGTGATCAGCAGTATCTATGCCTATAAAATAAGAACATATATAGAAAACTGCTCCCAAATTACAGAATAAAAGAAAAACTTTGCAGCATTATTGCATACAGAATAAAACATATAGTAAGAACTTTAACCAAACACAAACTGAATTCTGTGCAGAAATGAGAAAGTGATGCAGTGCACCAATGCATAGGAAAAAGGGAGAGACAATGTGAAGTACAGCTAGAATGCAGAAAAAAATTACTATATATCATCCATATGTACAGACTAAAGCTGACCATAGATGGATCAAAATTAAGCCAGTTCAGCAGGAACCTGCAGAACTTCAATCCATCTATTGGCAGGCTGGTTTTACTGAAATTGATCTATTAATATTGATATTGTCTTTTTTTTTCCTGCAATCACTGTCGGTGGCTATAGCCACCAACAGTGATAACTGTATTCTGGCGACGGGAAAACCTCTCCCTGTCAGAATACAATAGCACAGCAGGAGGGATTCCCCCATTAACACTGGCTGTGTTTATAGGGGAAGCAAGCAATTTGCTTTGCTTCAACCCATGGTTGAAGGGAAGACATTTGCATAACCTATGACCAGCCTAAGAACAGATTTTCACCTAGCAGGCAGAACATTACTCTTACTGTGTCTATACATACAGAATTTTATCAGATACACTATATTGGCAAAAGTACTGAGACACCCCTCCAAATTATTGTGTTCACCTCCATGGCAACAGGTGTATAAAATCAAGCACCTATGCATGCAGACTGTTTCTACAAACATTTGTGAAAGACTGGGTCACTCTCAGGAGCTCAGTGAATTCAAGCATGGTACCATGATAGGTTGCCACCTGTGCAATAAGTCCATCCATGAAATTTCCTTGCTATTAAATATTCCACGGTCAACTGTTAGTGGTATTATACCAAAGTGAAAGCAACTGGGAACAACAGCATCTAAGCCACGACGTGGTAGGCCATGTAAAATGACAGAGTAGGGTTAGCACATGCTGAAGCGCAGAAGAAGTTGCCAACTGTCTGCAGAGACAATAGCTAAAGACCTCCAAACTTCATGTGGCCTTCAGAGTAGCACAACAACGGTGCATAGAGAGCTTCATGGAATGGGTTTCCATGGCCAAGCAGCAGCATCCAAGCCTTACATCAAAGTGCAATGCAAAGCATCGGATGCAGTGGTGTAAAGCACACTTCCACTGGACTGTAGAGCAGTGGGGATGTGTTCTCTGAAATGACGAATCATGCTTCTCTGTCTGGGAATCCAGTGGACGTGTCTGGGTTTGGCGGTTGCCAGGAAACCACTACTTGCTGACTGCATTGTGCCAAGAGTAAAGTTTGGTGGAGGGGGGATTATGGTGTGGGGTTACTTTTCAGGGGTTGGGCTTGGCCCCATAGATCCAGTGAAGGGAACTCTTAAGGGGTCAGCATACCAAGACATTCTGGACTATTTCTTGCTCCCAACTTTGTGGGAACAGTTTGGGGATGGCCCCTTCCTGTTCCAACATGACTGCACACCAGTACACAAATCAAGGTCCATGAAGACATGCATGAGTGAGTTTGGGGTGGAGGAACTTGACTGGCCTTCACAGAGTCCTGACCTCAACCCGATAGAACATCTTTGGGATAAGTTAAAGCGGAGACTGAGCCAGGCTTTCTCGTCTGACATCAGTGCCTGACCTCTCAAATGCACTTCTGAAAGAATGGTCAATCATTCCCATAGACACACTTCTAAACCTTGTGGATAGCCTTCCCAGAAGAGTTGAAGCTTTTATAGCTGCTTTTATAGCTGCAAAGGGTGGGAAAAATCAATTTTGAACCCTACAGGCAAAGATTGGTATGCCATTAAAGTTCATGTGCGTGTAAAGGCAGGCGTCCCAATACTTTTGGCAATATAGTGTACTCAGAATCATGCTCACAACCTGAACAGGAGATGTTTACTCATAAAGAATTAGAACAGATAGCTGAAATTAGTTAGTACATACAGTACAAGAAGTGGCAGTACACAGTGCCAGTATATACAGAATAAATATAGATACCCATAATTACCTTAGGATACATGCCATAAGGATTAATAAACTGAAACATTTAGATTTCTATGTATGTCACCTTACAATTACCAAATAAAATGACAGCCATTCTAGTTTGTATGTTGCTATGCACAGCCATACAAGTATCCCCACCATGTCCACTGGTATAGTGAAATAAAACCTAAGTTGTGCATGGGAAGCATCAATGGTGATAGCATAATTACTGAACCCCATCCCCAGCCCGGACCCCCCAAAATTAATATTGTTTATTCTACTCTAACTTGAACCTGGAATTGCTAGCATTAGGATTGCAGGCACATGGAATCTGTCAGCAGCTTCATAAGAAATTGGGTGCTTAACATCATTAAAGGACTGGGAAATACCCCCACCTCCAGACGACTGGTATCATGCATGTATAATTGAGAGTTGTGTCCTAAAGAAACAAGAAGTAATTTGTTTGTATTGCAGGTTGTGATCTGGGCAACAGTATGGTAATTAAGCCTTGCATTATACCCTTAAAAACCTGAACCCTGAGTAAAATACATAACAATATTATGTTAATGTTAACTATAACACAATCAGCACAAACTCTCACTACCCACAACCCCACAACTCTCACTACCCACAATGAATTATACAAATGTGTTGCTAGCTATAACTCTATGAGATGATTTCACAACACCTTCCTCAAGTAACTATACAAAAATTAGTGAGGCGTAGCACAATTAAGTGCTATACCATCAATCAAACAAAAATATAAAAATTTCTCTGTGACTCTTAATCCATAAACATTCAACATAAAGGGTGAAATAAAGTATATATAAACAGTCCAGCACCCCAAAAACAGTGCAATTAGTGACCAGCAATCTTCGATCTTCCAGTGACTTGAAAAACCAGGTGCTCACCACCTCAAAAAAATTCAACACAGGCTCATCTGCTTCATCTGTGCCTAATTCAGTAATCCCAACTCGGCACACCCTCCACAGCTCTCCTCAGATGCTGGCTGGATACACCCGCCGATTCCAAATGCACTCAAAAAATACAATGTATACATCATACTATAGAACAGAAAAGCAAAGACATAGTGCTCTCCATTTCTAAAACATTTAATAAAACCCCAGCAGATACAAGACACTGACAGGATAAAAATCACAATGCGCTTTGTACTGTATATATAGTCATCCGCCTGTTCTCCACTGCACCCTCAAAATAGCGTCGGTGTTACCACACAATATCGGCTGCTCCCTCCTAGACACGCTGCACCCTGCAGTTGGGCTTCTTCAGTAGGCCTTATAAAACATATTAACATAATAACAGAAAACATATTTAACATATTATGTTAAAAATGGTTACTTGTTTTTACTGGATCAGTATGGCAATTACTTGTTAACAATGCTATTATCATTTAATGACTGTAATTCTCAGGAAAAACTATCAAAAATAATTGGTTAAATGTGTTTTTCTTTGCTATAGTTGTTTTTAAAGCTATTTTGAAATTTGCAGTTCAGTAATGACCTGTGATAATTACTGTGTTCAGGAACGGTCACTTTTAAAGTCTGAGAACATACCAAATGTCAGTGTACATACAAACATAATAGGCAACCTTCTGCTATTTGCATAATTAAAGAAAATGATTTTTAACAATACTCACATAAAAATGTTATGAGTAGTATTCAAAAATTAAATTCTCCTGAAAGTCTAAAAGGTGGTCGCAGACAAAAGAGTGATGCATTAATATATTGTATTTATTAAAAAAATATGCATGAATTCAGGCAGAATTGTTAAATGACACACAAAAAAAAATAACAATACACTCAAAAGCCAAAGCTGCTGTATGCGAGACTGGCAATGTTACAATACAGTATAGTTATATCTGCCCTCTGGAGACAAAGCTTATTTTCTTTTATTTGTTCCTCAAAGATTTTCAACCGAGACCATCTTCATGCTTGCCTTCATCTTCCTTGCTTCCTTTCTTTTGTTTAAGTCTCCTTCTCGGTCACTGAGCCCGCGTTATTATTGCAAAACATCAGGGAATACCTGAACAGTGACATTACCTCTATGTAAATAATGTTTGTCAATCTCAAAAAACAATTCCTTGGTTCCAATTCCTGTAGTTCATTAAAGCGGAAATAAAGTCTCCTGTGTGGTGGGTGGCTTCTTGCCATAATTTGCAAGTATGCACAATTACTTTACCAAGTGCCCTCCTCTAGAGATGACAGGTCCAGGTTCCAGTTGTCCAGTTGCTGCTCCAATCCCTTCCCCCTACTGCCACTACCTCTGAGGCTCATGATGCTGCTCTCTGGCCATTTGGCGGACACTGATGATGTAACCCTTGCACATCTGCATTGCAGTTATATTGTTGCCTGCACCCGGTTCCATTCTAGATGCTGCAAATTAGCAAAATGTCTGCCATGTATAAAATATACAGAGTTTTTGCATGTCTCATGCCAAAAAAAAAAAACCTAACCCCAAGCAGTTTTTCATTGCAAGATTTTAGATTTACGTTAAGACAAGAATTTGCTGTGACAAAGAGTTCCCCTAGAAGGTAGTAATTCTGGAAGGGTGTTGATATTTGTAATTAAGACATGGTCACCCTGAGCCCAAAGATTCTGATGCCCCAAATCTACACAACTGCCCACTGGTTGAGTTATTCCTAAAATACAAGTCTAGGGCTAAAGCAAACCTGATGTCAGGTCATGTGCCCATTGTAGGCTGAGGAGAAACGTACCTACCTTATTTCTGTTTCTCCATGTTACATAATAAATCATGTGGTCAAATCTAACAGGATGACCAGTTTAAAGTAGAACAAAATCCACATGGTGGTGAGTCTGCATTATAATGTGCAAGTATGCAAACCATATTTGCATATTATAGCGGACTTACCTGCCCAAGTGCCCTTTCCAGTGCTGCAATGGACACGATCCCGCTCATTGTTTCACTGCAGCATCTGAAACATTCTCCCAGTCTTCTTCAGCGTCTTCAGCCATCATGATTGATCCCAGAACCAAGGTATGCTAAGAATGTATCCAAATGTTCAGTGTTCACTTATCAGAAATATTGCCAGCAGACAGGAGACCAGCTTTTCTTGCAGAAGAGACACAAAATAATGAGTCTAGAGTCAGACAAAGGGACTTGGCTGGTGAAACAGTGCTACAGTGGCAGCCAAACTATGCATACAGACATGGAGAGGGCTGTCTGTGGAGGAAAAGGCAGGGCTCTAAAGCTAAGTTCTGGAGCACTGGTGCTGCAACAAAAATAGAAGGCTGAATGTGAATTTTGTCAAAGATATGCTAAATACCCCATGAGAGGGTATTCTTCTTTGTTTTCTACGTTTTTGTTATAACAGAAGTGGGCCTTAAACATACATTACTGGCTAGACTGAAGCTCACAAACAGTTTACCACTTAGCATAAGTCTACTACAGGATATTCCTTGACCCTCACAAGAGACCGTCTGATTCTTCAGTTGGGTTTCTGGTCTCCAGTTTAATCAGTTTATCAGTAGGAATAGCGAAATGTCCATCATCAAATAAAACTTCTGTAACTTCTAGCAGGCACAAGACAACTGGCATTCCATATGCATCCAACAAGTTCATAGGTGTAAGGCTCTCGTTTGTTACTCTAAGCCAGTGGTTCTTAACCTGGGTTCGATCGAACCCCAGGGGTTCGGTGAGTCAGTCTCGCGGGTTCGGAGGAGGTGAAGACCCACACCCGACTCATATGATTCGTGCAGTAAATATTCATTATTATGTTTTTGTTTTTGTGTGAAAATCATGTTTTAATGGTTTTGTTCTTTGTTCTTAACGGTTTTGTTCATTTTGTGCACCTATGTATAAATATATACCTATGTTTTGAATTTTAAAAATCATATTTTATTTTTCCAATTAAGAAGGGTTCGGTGAATGCGCATATGAAACTGGTGGGGTTCAGTACCTCCAACAAGGTTAAGAACCACTGCTCTAAGCGGACTGAAAAATTTGGATTGTCCTTGTTTCAATATGCCAGATTTCTTAACATATATTTCTCTGACACCACATTTCCAATGAGTACATGCCTTACTCTTTTTTTTTTTTTACAGCCTTAGCAACTGACGATTTCA